TAGCATAGCTCTCAACGAATGTAGTCCTATTACTATGTCCTTTATTCGAACACTGTATTTACCTTTCTTTAATGATTTATATATATAAGTTTACAGTGTTAACGGCTATCTTGATTTAAATTATACGCAACTATTTGTTTCTAGCCGTACTTATTGTGTAATGGAGTGTATCTGGTGGTATTTGAATCTGTTCAACCATGAAGCCTCCGTGGTCTAATGGTTATGATGCTCTGTCGCCTTGACAGCGAGAGGTCGCAGGTTCGAGTCCCGCCAGAGGCATTTTATTACACAATTTCTTTATTCATTTATTTACAGGACTAACATTTGTTGAGAGCTATGCTACACGATGTATTATTATGTACTGTATTTACCTTTCTTTAATGATTTACATATATAAGTTTATAGTGTTAACGGCTATCTTGATTTATATATATATATTATATATATACTTGATAAAATAGAGTGATAAGTTTTACACTGCCTTGCAGTACTGCACAATTAAGGCTTTAAATGAAGAGGAATATGCACGGGATTTGATAACACATTTTTATCAACTAGGCCGCTGTGGCTTTGAATCCGATTAGGAGCAAATACATTTCACACTCTCTTGCACATGCTGTAGGAACAGCGCTCAGTTCTTCAATATGATACGCCCTCATCTTAAACATTTTCAACGATAAGATGGGATCTTCGAAATGTTTATATTATGGAACTCACCTGAAACGCGATTCTGATCTATGAACGGCAGAGATATCAATCGAATACGGCGGTTTATCACGTAAAGGGCATATTGGACGTGTGATTTAAGAAACACTCGCACAGGCTGACAGTACATGTATAATAAAACCACCACAACTAGGCAAATCGACAAAAGCAAAATGCACATTAGAATTCGGCTTCTTCTAGATAGCACTCGACGACAAGGCTTCGCTTTATCTCTTTTATATGACCCATTTCCAGCTATCGACTTCACGCACCTGTGGATCTCTTTAAGCCCTAACCCTGACTTCTTTCCATCGTTGAGAATCTGACGGAGTTCCCTTTTCAGGAGATTAAGTTTAGGCCCATCCATTTCCGAGTTTTAAAGCAAGCTCTACATAGGGCATTAATGTGGTAGACATGTTTACCCTTGCTCCAATGGAACAACGCTTATCGGCGTTTCAATTCATTTCCTGGTCACTGCTAGCTGCAACAATGACCTCTAAGCTTTCAGGTTCAATGATTAAATTGTATGACTTTTGGAGGCTGTTCAACTATGGTTCAACTGTAATGAGAATTCAAAGTATTATGAAACTTATGCCACAGACAGCGCACGTTTTGTTGACCCGTCTAAGTGCAATTAGTAATCTCAAACCCCGGAATCAATTAAAAAATATAATCTACACAAGAAAACTTATCGTTATTGTTAATCTTCATATTGACAGCAAGAGAATGAATCGATCATTTCAGTTTTTTTCTCGTTTACTAATATCGGTACTGTACATCGAATTTACACCAAATGAATTTAAATATAGATATTATTTAATACGTTCATTATCATTGATTTTTAAAAAATATTTCTTAGGTCTAATTTTGTCTAAAGAGACTTATAATGTTAATTTGATAAAATTTATGGGGTTTTTTTTTTTGCATTTAAACTACTTGTTTGCTTTATTCAATGTTAAATTTGATATGTTGATATGTCATGAGGTTTCAAATATACCATGATTAATCAGAAATAAGTTAGAAAATAGTCTCTATGCCTTGATGATCGAACGATCGCTAAATTGACATGCACGGCTGACACACAGTTGATGTGGTTACACGCGCACACGTGATGGAACTTTTCTTTTGCAGCTTCGGTCTGCATCTAACATTTCATCCACTGTTAACAACTCTGCATTGTCTCTGAGGTCATAGCAAATGCGTTTGGCATGACGCGTCTTAGAAGCAGACTTACGCCTGCCACAAAATTTCCCCTGTGGTGACGGCACAACTGAAGTGATTCGGACAGAATCCTTTATATAATCTAGTAGTTGAGCTCTGAAAAGCTTGTCAGCTTTGGTATCCTTCAACGTGTGTCTAAGCCAACTCCAGTATGGCGATTTTGTTCTTAAACTGACGCTTTTCTTCTGAATTGAGTGGATTGTTTTATCGTAGCGTTTCTTGTAACGCGTTGCTCTTGAGAGTGACGCTAAACATCTATAGTATGCGTTAAGGTGAACTATGTTTGTGATTACGATATCCTGTTTTACTTCTGCCGAATCGTTAACATCAAAAACACGATGTGTCACTGCCTCATTAAAGAAAGAACCCAACTTGATTCTCGGCGCTCTATCCGCGCTGCCATCATCACTACGCCACTTGTTCTCAAGACCTAGGCCTATCAAGGGGGTATTAAATAAAAACAATTACAAATAGCTACAGTAGCCTAATAAATAAGCTCCATCCACACTTTTATCAAGTTTTATGTGACAAATACTCGCAATTTGTCTATTATGAAATATAGTGTCATCATGCCCAACCATGGAGTGATATGACATCGTTTCACACATAATGCAAATGACACAAATGTGTCACATGTACGTGATAGTACGTAGATAGTACGTACAAGTCTATAATAATACAAAGTTACCAAGAGAAACACAGACACTACAAAGATCTTAGTAGTTTGCATAGAGCTTTAAAGATAATGTGTTGAGGATTTTGTATACTTACTTTGAGATTCTGTTGCTTGAAGAATATTGTTGTTACGGTTAGCAGAATGGGTCAATGATTTGTCAGTATCATTTACATGTAATGACGGAGCAAAGTTAATTGTGTTTACCTGTAGTAAACATAGAATAAATATGAAACGTCCTCTTACTGTATATGTAAACAGTTTTTGAACACATTTTGAAATATTATATTTTTATTTAAAATACTGTACAACGCGAAGCTGTAAAAGTTAGTTGAATCGGTTGGCGCGGGGACTCAAAATCCTCGCTGACGGTACTAGTCGGCGCTACGTGTTCTTTGGAAAAACAATTTATTGTTTATCTCGCTGAGAGTATCTAATACCATGGAGGAAATAATATATTTCCTCCATGCTAATACCAAGCGCTGATTCTAACTGCTCAATGGGAATGATGTTTGAGCCAGCCACCGGGTGCAGTAATGCAAAGCACACGAGACAATCAGGGAAGACGAGTAAATTTTGTCGGGGAATAAACAAATAAAAAAAAATATTTACTTTTATTAAACTATTTGTTTTAACTTTTCATCACAATAATAATAATAATAATAATAATAATAATAATAATAATAATAATAATAATAATAATAAATAATGATAATAATAGGCCTTATAATAGTTAAATGAGACTAATTAAAAATAATTTGCGTTTTGTTATGACAAATGCTCGTTTGGATAGCATCATGATGCTTTGAATACATCGTGATAGGGGAAGCAACCTAGACCTTGATAGCGTTGACAAATGCAAAATTTCCAAAATGTAGAATTTCGTTTCAAGAATGACGATTTGAAAATAAATTAGATGGTTACATTGCATACTCTTTGTTTCTTGTTTTATTCCAAATGTTTTGGTTTTGGAAGCTGATTTCGACATTAGAAAACATACCGTAGCCTACATGAAGTTATATTATTGTAGCTCGATGCCTATCAAATATTTAAAAATGAAAATTACGGTAACAAACACATTGGCATAATTTGTAAATTAAATAATTTGTCACTTCTGAAATTTCTGCTAAATTTACACCGACCTCTTTCTTGTTGACGAGGATGTCAGCAGTCGATGTTGCATTTTTGCAACATTCTAATATTTCTGTCGGTGATGTTCTGATTTCGTGTTGAATATTTCCCTGAATAGGTACACTTGATTCTGTGGTATTATAATATCTTGGCTTAAGTATCGTGTCGATAATTTTCCTCTTCGGAGAATCAAATA